TTTTTTTTTTTTTAATAGTTGCCACTACCGTCCACCACCCCTACTATTTCCAATACCTCTATCACTCAGACCACCCCGCTACGAGTCTTACCACAGTTACCGCAACTACTATTTTCTTTGCCTTGACGCTGCCACAAAGGTGGATTTCTACTTTGCTTAGCCCAAAGAAACCCGAAACCACTGAAACGCAAAGACAACCGCAGAAAAGTCACTATTATAGTTCCTCTCTCCTCCTACTTCTCCTTCGTTAAGTGGGATGCCTTTTCCGGAAGAACGCCTAAAGAAACCCTAAAGACAAGAAACCGATCCCAAAGAAATCCGAATCCAGTGAAGCTAAAGACAACCGCAAAGAAGTCCCTAGTAAGTTGAACACCTTTTCTGTTCCCTCCCCTTGTTACTGTCACGCTGGCTTTGGTGCTTCGTCCCCTGCCCTTTCTGCTGCTCCTAGTGCTTGTAAAGCACTCCCAGCAGAAGCAAAAGCAAAAACAGTAGGGGAAAAAAGTAAAAAATATTGAAAAATATGAAATAAATTCCCGGAAAACATATCCATCCTTTGTTGAAATGCATGCACTGCAAGTCCCTGTTGGTGTATGTGTGCTCATTCTTGAGAGGAAAAGATGTCCAGTCGTGATGAACAGGGGGGGGCGGCATGAGGCCAGATTTGGTGTTGTAAGGAGTTGGGCGTCGGGATTGCGTTTGTTAAACAAACATGGATCACATTCCAGCCAGGTACACTGGGTGGGAAAGAGAATCTCCAATGACTGAAACCCCGAAAATGTTTCACTCACCGCCCATCACTGAACATCTCAAGGCCTGCGGATGGCGGTCTATACTGAAACTCATCCAAACTTCTTGGGATCTTAAGACCAGTTCCTAGGACCTCAAAACCCCCAAGTGATTGGATCGTGCGAAAGAGCGTTGCTTGAGATGAGCTTCTCAGCCACGCGTGTTGCGTGGAGGATTTCATCTTGGAGCCCGAGTTGAGGAACCTCATGGACGGCTCTTGGCCTTGCCCCCCCGGGCTTCACAAGCATCGAAGGGCGGGTTCACTGAGGGAAGAGAACGACAGAGCTCGGAGTCCGACAGCTAGTCATGCACTGCCGCAGCCGCGCCGGAACTTGAAGGAGCAAGGTGTGCATGGTCGTTTCTGGCTGGCGCTAGGTGTTTTTAAGGATCCCCTTCTGGCGGCCAAGAATGTCACCTCCGAAATGGCCAAAGTGCTTTCAGGGGGGAACAGGCGGGTAGTGGATCCAGCAATCCCACCCATGTGGCTGGCAAAGAACATCCAAATAACACCTGCCTTTATACCTTTTTGGCCTAAAGGACCAACGGATCACCTGCAAAACCTCTGAAGGGATTGGTATGGATTGGTTTTCCCCACTCAACAAGGACAGGTGAACCTTGGTGAACCTTCAGCTTTCCAGGGATTTCGCGAGGACCCACGGCCAGTCATGGCCCGATCCGAGATCCGAGATCCATTGGCCTCAGGGCCTTTTACTTCCTTTACTTCCTTGGTTGAGAGAAAAACCAAGGAACAGGCTGTCAAGTGAAGGAAGTAGAAGACCTTAGGTGAACAACCAAGGTTTGCTAAAGTTGTAACATTTATGTTTGCGAGATGGGCAAAGGCAAGACCAAGAGACAGGCAAATGATTTTTCTGGGGCAGGCATTTCTTAGGTGAACAACCACGAGGCCTATGGAGACAAACAGAAACAGCATCACCAACACGCTCCGAAGCTGGTTGATTTGACCTACCTTGGGGGGGTCCAAAACGTCCCTCCGGGTCACAACGTTTTTAGTGGTGCGCCCTTTGAAACATGAGGAAGTCTCCCAAATAACAAAAAAAACAAAAAAACCAAAAGGTTTTTGGTGGTTTTTGGATGGTTCTAGGACGAAGTCTTTGGGTCACACCATCCACATCCACACCCCTTTTTCGTGGCATCCGACTCCGAGGCACCTCCCTGGCCGAGGACGAGGACGGCACTGCCGTCCTGGCGGAGGCGGCGCGGAGGAGTTTGCACTTGCTGCACGCCGACACGCGCGGAGGCCCGAGAAGGAGCAGCAGAGTGGAGGGGGAGATGGACGGATGGAGAAAGACTCCAATACTGACCAGCTCTACCCAGCTGGCTTGCCAGCTCATCGAGGATATATAGATGATGAAATCCACCTGAGTCTACCTGTCTTCCCCGGCCATTCTAGAGCCCTTCCTTTTAAGTGGCTGGCCGTTCACCCTCCACATGAACACACTAAGAAGTCGCCAGATGATCAGGAGGCGCATCGATGATCACATAAACTCTGAGGCCAGGTGAATCAATAAATGTGCACATCATTGTCATCCCTGGTTTCACATGATTCTACACGTCAATGTTCACATGGAAGCACTCCAGCACTCCTCATTGAATCAGATGCTTTTTGTTTACTGTAAAGAGGACGTTGGGCTCCCAAAAGCCGCTTAAAAAGCCACGAACCGAGGCAGAAGCGGCTACTGGAAGTGCTGCAAGAAGGCAGGTGTCAGGGATCAAAGCTCATTTCTGGACGCGCCCAAGTCATTGAAGAAGGTTCAAGACGATGGACTTGGGTAGGTTGAAGGACAAGTTGTAGGTGATGTAATGGCTGTGTCAATGTCCTTGAAAGAAGCGTTTGTGAGCCATTTGAGAGTCGCACATCTTCACCACCCTTGTGGCTGCCGGGGTCTTGACCGGTTTGGACCCTCGCAGCGTGCGGGTCGCGCGGGGAGGTTCGACTCGAGCGGGGCGCGCAGGCAAGCTGACCTGCCTGGCCAGGGTCGCTCAGAGAGGAGACTGAACGGGAAGAGGAATGGGAAGATGGTGGTCGGCTGGCGAGCCGAGGAACGATTTCAAGAACCAACGCAGTGGGTTTAAAGAGTTGCTCGGGTAACCCGACAGAATCTTCCAGGGTCTAATTGGTTTGAGTTTGAAGAGGTTACCCTACTAACATCGTGGTTGAATTGTTGGTATACTCCTCGCATTTCACGGGGGTTTCGGGGTGCAATTGATTGCTATGTTATTCCCTGGTTTTGTAGATGTTTTATTAACCACAAATAGCTTCACACTTGCAATACATAGGTGCTGTTGAGAGAGATGGAGGCGCGCACACACAGATTCACAGACTTCTGTAACAACATCATCATCTTTTGGTGCAGTTTGTGACCTTGTGTCAGTGACTAAGGAGATAGCATAGAGGATAGCATAGAGATACATAGAACGTTCTTGGCTTTCCACGCAGTAACTCGTCTCCAGGGTTCACCGGCTTCGAGCCGAATCTTGCTGCCCAGAGGCTCAGTTGTGTTCGCCGGATTCGTTGGCGGTCCGGCGATCCGCCACGAAGAGCTGGACCTACAAGACATGGTCGGTGGGTCCAGGGTTGCCTTTGGGTGGACTCTGTAAAACAGGACCCAGGGCGAACGTTCCCTCCTTTTTCGCACACAGACTTCAAACCACTGAACCGCTGATGTAGCTAGCTTAGAACTGGGTGCGTCCGAGGGTGCTACGGATAGGCTCAGATAGACTCATGGGGTTTGTTTGAGGTGATTTGGGTGAATATGGATTCCTATACCATCCAGACCTATACCCTATGGCCCCTAGCTGTCCCCAGACCATTACAAGAAAGGTTTGACCTGGATTTGTAGTCCAAAAAATCAGTAGAACGAACAGTGATTGTGAAAAAAACCACTGGCTGTTGGACTCCCAAGCAAAACACAGTCACAAGCATCCACCGTGTCTAAGAAGAACAACCAGCACCTGCTCTACGCGTCTTGGAGCACCTGCTCTACGTCGTTCCACTGACCGAGGTCGACGGTCCCAACATCGGCTACCGCGGCGCCGTGCAGCGGCGCCGCCGGGCAGAGGGGCCACGGGAAGGCGGACGAATGCGGAGGAGAGAAGAGGATGACAGTGGTTCCACTTCCGCATGTGTTTTGGCTCAACTCCAGTTGCTCCATGTGAAGCTGGGCGTCAAAGAGGTAAGTGACCTGAAAAGGCATGTCCTGACAAACTGAGTATAATTTGGGTCTTATAAATGATTTTACATGTTTTTTTAGCGCTTTAAGGCAGACGTTCTTTTTCCCGGTTCGACTATAAGGGCGAAGGCGCCAGAGTTGGAACATATATTATTATATACCTACTACTATAACTGCTTACTCTTAAATATATACTCTTGAAGCCTTTTAAATAAGCCGTTTTTTGGGCAGACCCTGCCAGGTAGTGGGGCCAAAAATTACCGTGCAGATGAAGAAGAGGCGAGAGGGATGTTTCTAGGTCGTTTCAGTTGTTGGCAGATCTGCGAAGATGATCCCCGCAGCTTGGAACACTTGGAACGCGGCACGTGACACTGCCCAGTCCTTATAGTCAGTGTGCAACATCCATCACCGCTCAAAGACATAGGGAGACCGACAGACGACGTTCCGAACCTGCTGGAAGAGTCGGAAAAAATCAACCAGTCTACCCATTTGTTTCTTTCGGAGTCTCCCTATTAAAATACACATCCATTTCACGTGCAGAGCAGTGCAACTACCAAGCTGTCACTGCCCGCTGCAGCGCAGTTTCAAGCGCATCGAGTTGCAACAATATTTGGCACTGCTGTGTCGGCTCCTGTTTTGATCTGTTTTGTCGTTTGGTGGATGTTGTGTTTTTCGCCCTATACTGTACTTGTGTGGTTGGTGGTGAACTGAACTGCAACACTTGCAGGAGCTTGCAGCTTTGCCCCTTTTCCCACACCCTTTGTAATAGGAAGCCTTGACCAGTTCGTTCGCCTTGGCCGGGACGCTCACTCCTTTCGAGATAGACCCTATTCTCAGAAACTCTTGACTCACTCAATGTCACACAACTGTTCATAAAGGCCTTATATATAGAAGTCCGAAGGCATTTTTTTGGGGGACCACCAAAGCACATGAAGTCCTCGGATCGGATCATCTAGTCAAAAACCTACGAAAGTAGTTGTACAAACAGTCCTTCCAGGGTATACCACAACCCTTGTTGTGGAAGACAACCGTGTTTTGGGGGACTGATGGTCGGACGCCGGAGCCCTTGGAGCCTTCCCCCAGACCTGGAAGCTTCAAAGAGCACACCTGCAGGTGGTGGAGAATCTCCATGCACCTTACTTCCGTCATGATCAGATCCATCAGACTTTGGAGCAGTTCCTTGGACTGCACGACATCGCGAGACCCTCCCAACCAGACCCCCTGGCTTTGGAGCGGACCAAGCCCGTTCCTGCACGTATTGCATGGGCGGTGTGTGTGTGTGTGTGTGTCTCGGAATACGCTGAGCCGAGGATAGCGGGTAGCCATGGAGTGCCATTTGTGCCAAAATTTGAAACATAACAACACTTGCATGCAAAGGCCTTCTAACTGATTGCCGCATTGCCTACTGATTTTGTTCATTTGTTGGGTGTGTTTGACATTTAAATCCTTGAGAATTTCCTTTGTTGTTGTGCCCCTGCACTGACTCTCCTGCTCTTTTTGAGGCTCCGCTCCCAGAACCATTGGCCCTTGCTGGTGATGCCCTGTCGCTACGTGCAGAGCCAAGTCGGACTGAAGGATTCGCTACGTGCGGAGCGACAAGTGTTTTCACCAGATGGATGCCGGGCCGTCTAGGGCCCTGGGGGCAGAGGCTGAGTTCGTTCCGAACTCATGCTTCCTACAGCGGTCCTGCCATGATCTGCCATGCACAAAGGCATGGAGAAATGATGAAGGCCATTGGAGGTCCAGGGTTTTGCAATCTTGGCGTCCAAAGGCATGGAGAACGAAACGGTTTCTATCAGTTTGATCAGGTTCACCAATCCATGGCCAGGCCATCCATGTATGAAATAGATTGAAATAGTTGCATGCATGATCATACATGGACCCCATGAACATGACCCATCCATGTAGGTATAACTACTGGGTCTATTCCAGTCCCATGGATGGTTTGGGATTGCTACCCCCCCTTTCAAGACCGCTATCTCCCGGTTGATTCTTCTCTAAGACATGCCTTGGGTCTTCCAGCTGCTCGCGTGAACGGCCAAGGCCTTTGCCGGAGGTCCAGCAGATGGAGATGCTTCGGTGCGTCGGGAAGTGGATTGAATCGAGCGCGGAGATGTGGGGTCCAGAGTAAACGTGCACCCTACTAGGTAGGTGGTTTAAGTCGCCTGGGCTGGACTGAAGTCGTTTAGAAACACTGTGCCCATGCAGTCTATGTAGCCAAGAGAAAACCCCAAAAAGGGAAAAAAGAACATCACCCCCAATCACCCCTCGCTGTGGTTTCAAGTTTGCACACCCGTCTTCAGGCTGTTTCATAGCATCGTTTCACTCTCATCACGTGGGATGAATTTTCTCCCCCATGATATTGATCCCCTCACGAGTCTCTCGGAAGAGTTTGGTACCCCGTATCCCGAGCGCTCGAGTTTATACCGAGATCCACCAGAGTTACAGTGTACCGCAAATCCCATTGACCCAGAACTTCTTAGTGACCTTCTACGGATCTCAGTGACCTCATGCTCATATATTTCTCAAGCTCACTTGGAAGGTGGCAGTCCAAGAGCGCGATCCCAGCCAGGTGCAACGCCCCTTGACTCCGCTCAACGACTGGGTCACTCGCTGGATGTAGGCGCCTGAGTTGGAGAAGACTAAGACTTCCCCTTGTGTTGCATTTTTTGCTAATCTGGGGCATCACGACCCAGCATGGCAAATCAAAACCCCACATCCAGCAGTCGACATGTTCATAGAGGCCACCAGCTGTGGCAAAAGCACCTGCTGTTGGAAGATCCAAGAACAGCCGAGACACACGGAACCCCGTTACGTGGCATGGCATGGCCCGAAAGGATGACCATGAGGATGACCATGTCCCCAACACCAAACAGAGGGTTTTTTTCCATGTTTTCCACTTGAAGGCTACCGGCTAGAGCGACGGCTGCTTGAAGGTCAAAGGTCAATTTGTCCACTTCCATGATCATTTCAGGGAGTGTCATGTCTTGTTTTTTTTGTGCGATACGCATCGATACGCTGCAGTTGGTCTTGCAGGTACCGCGAAACAGGTGCAGGCTTGAAAGCAGATTGAGAGGGACACTGCTTGGCATGGATGGACGGTAATTTCATGGGTTCCAAAAAAACGGTGTTGGTCAATGAGTGCAGTGTATGCACGTCATGGATGAAACATGCTGCTGCTAAAGCATGAGCTACTGAACCTTGGACCTCCCTCCGAAAACCCTTGCCTTCAAAGACCATAAAAGAAAGGTTGATTTGGTTGTTTAGAGTGCTATAGCGAAACCATGGCAACAACAACCACCACAACAACCACAACCACAACAACAACCAAAGCAACCACAACCACAACCGCAACAACAACACAAGGTAACAAGGTAACAGGTACAAACAAAACCTGTAGCCCCGTCAAAACACTATACACATGTCCTTACTTTGTGTCTACCGCCTCCTAGGAAACAGGACTGCAGCCCCGTTGTTGTTTTTTGACCCCCGCCCCCCCAGAACAACACCTCGGAAACACTTAATACAAACGGACCAACCCAGACTTCATCAGTGAAGTCCAACAAGTGCCGGCACTACGACATTCCCTCATTCCCTCGAAACCTTCAACCGTTTCCCTGGCCTTGTCCCGAGTTGCCACATGTGACCCACCACACTCCCCGCCATGTCGTGCCCCTAGGTCAGAGGGATGCCTTTTCGTGACCCGCGACGATGAACCCGACGACGCGGTCGGGCGTCGCATCGGTTGGTGGGGAGTCGCATCGACCCTGGTCGAGCCTGTTGGGTTACAACATGTTGCCCTGTTGGGTTCAATTCAATTCTCAGTTTAAGCAACTGAAAGGCCATTGTTTTAATATGCTTTCATGGGTTTCACCGAAGAACCGTGGTTTCACCAAGGACTTGTGGCTAAGGTTGATCAGATCAACCTTTCTTTTCATGGTCTTTGGAAGGCTAGGGCGTAGGGAATGCATGTTCTCCCCAATTCGCCTCAAAAAGGCCAATTAGTATCCGTCCCTTCCGTGGCACACTTGGAAGAACGTAGCTTTCTTGCTAATGGTTCTTGGAGGCAGATGGTGTATGGAGTAATTACATGCATTAACCTCCTAAACCACCCCAATGTTGGCAAATATGCCAGTCCCATGCCAGTCGCCCATTCGTCGTTGACGCCGCCAGTCCCGGCACATGCGAGCAACCGGAATGAACACCTGCAGTCTTGCTTTTGGGAGAGGTGGGAAAGGAATGGGTGAATCATGGGGTTTTGGACACGCAGACCACCAGACGTTCGATGGAAATCGGGGTTAGGAGAAGCCCCCAGGTTTGGATCCATGCTACCTTGGCCTCCTTCAAGGCCTGGATTGCCCGAGCTCGTGCTAGTCTCGGACCGGGAATTTGATGTGAAAAAGGAATTCCCCTAAGTAATTGGGTATTTGGCATATGGTATGGCCAGTTACATTAAGGATGTTGGACTTCCAAGTTTAAATTGTTTGCTTCATTGTGTTGTTCTAAAGTTTGGGAGGTCTTTGGAAGAGAACTCTTGGCTCCTTGGGGTGCCTTCTTTGTGGACCGGGTTTCTTCCGCACCACCGGTGTCCGGTCAAGCGGATCAAGCAGCGGGTCAAGTGGGGAATCTTTCAGAGTTTGGGCGGTCACAGCCAGCGCAGCATGGTTTTGCTTAAGGTGCTTAAGTGACTTTTTCCGGTGCTTACCCACTTCTATACAGAAGATTGTTTTTAGTTCCCCATTCCCTAAGCAAATCCAAGGAAGAGACCTGCGAGTGGCAGGGCACGTGGCTAGTGAGACGTGAAAGTGGGGAAGTGAGGGAATGAAAAACGCCACCGGAAACCGGGTAAACCGTAAAAGGGACCACCGTGCCATCCAAATGCCATAGATCACTATAACCTGCCAGCCATGCCAGCAACGGCGGAGCAGTCCGCCGGTCCGCCCAGAGGCCGCGGACGCAGTGGAGGGCCCCACCTTTGTGGTCACCCGAGACCAGGCCGAGTGACGCAGCGGCGGGGTGCCAAATGGGCTGAGTCTTGGAACATGTGCTGAGCAGAGAAAAGAAGATGAAGAAGAGGAAAGGAGGTGTTTTTGTCCCTGGGCACGTCTTGAAGGTTCCGAACCTAAAAGAGAACGCGCTCGATGTTCGGCATGCCATGAATGCCATGTTTCAGGGTCCTCCAGGGCGAACACGGAAAAAAAGCAGCGAAGCAGAAGCTTTGGACTTTGCCGTCAACGCTCATAGACTCTACTTTGCAGCGTTGCTTGATACCCTTGGGGTCGGTTTTGTGTGACATGACATGAAGAGTGTGCGAACACTTCCTCATCATCGGTTTGGTGATGTTTGCACTGCATCGGTCAATCTCACGCGCTGGGTGTTCAATGGTTTGCATCAAAAGCAGTGCCATTGAGTGGCGTTTTCCGTGCGATGATTGATCCCACGGGCCGTCCCACGGGCGCCAGCAGCGTTTTCACTGCGTGAGGCGCTGAACCATCGTTCCAGCATTTGGGGAATCCGCTTCAATGAAGGTGACCGTGAGGAGCCCAGTGTCAGCTGCAGGGGAGGGCGGAATTGGGTGTCAAATTAAGTTTACAGCTGTTGGTGAGGCAGGGGTTCCTTCAGCATGATTTACACAAAAAATGGTGGTCACTTTGTGGGAAGCGTGATATCAACATGTTGCAGAAGAGTTTTCATGTTTGAGGTGGTCTTCAAGCACAGTTGAATCCATGCAAATTCATGTTGGTTTGCTTGAGATGGGTCTCATTTGGCCCCAAGATGCCCACGCGTTTTGGTGCTCAATTCCTGAACTTGATTTGGGGGAACATGTCGTGAACAGCTTCTTGAACATGCCCATCATGGCACTGCTGCACGGTATAAGTAAGTCATTGCCCACTGTTGGTTGATGTGGCAAGTATGTACTGTAAAGAGAAGAGTATGTGTGCTTGTTTTGCCGTCTGGAGGTTTCTTCTTCTTGGTACAGAAAAGCCGGCACCTGGTAGAACAAACGTTAGGGGGGTGTCAAGCAACATCTACGCATCATTGCGAGGTCTTGCCATGGCTGCCAAAGCATTTTTGTGTTGGCTTCTCATTTAAGCTGGGTCAAGCTGGAAGTCGGCATGAGTCAGCTATTGTCCTCACTTGAGAGGCCAGGGCCGCCCAAAATCCCTTGTGGGGTGTCTCGTGGTGTCTCTCGCGTGTTTTTTCTTTAGCTTTAGAAAAAACATCTCATTCCCTCAAATGATCTCCATCTCCGCCCTTTCCATGTGTATCATGCGTCCCCCGAGTCTCAAGAACATCAAACATGAGGTGCCCGCAGTGCTTGTGACCGCCTTGCGGTGTCAGGTGCTGTGGCACTTGAACGCTGTTGGCGTCGATGGAGCGTGTCTCGACACCCGTCGATGGGCAGACTTTGGAAGGAAATCTCCACAGAGATTCGGTTTGAAGGATGGATCTTCATAAGAGCCTTCTAGGTGCCCTTCTAGGAGCCCTTCTAGGTGCCCTATATAAAATAGGAGCCCTTCCTTCGGTGCCTTTGTGGAAGCTGCTCCTTCCACCATCATGCGCTCTGAGCCAGACCTTCCACCCTAAAAGAAGCATCATAGACCGAGCCGATACCTAAACAAAAGGTATGCCACACATCCAGCACCCGAGGCCCGGCACCTGCGCTGGTTCGCCCGGGGCCCACGACTGTCGTGGTGTGGGTCAGAGATGGTTTGCTCTACAAATCCCTGGGAAAACATGCAGAACTATGCTTCTTTTTTTAGACAATTCCATACAATTCCTAAAACAAAACTGCTGCAGTTAAAAACATATTTCAAAACATGCGGAGTTGAGGCTCAGACCTCAGGAATGACCACGGTGGGACAAAAACACATGGTGTATGATGGGGGCAGCAGGAACCTGCGGCTTCCTTCTCTCCGCGCGCCGCGGGGCGCTGCGCGGTGTGGAGGCGATCTCTTGGGCTGACTGCGATCACTTCTCCGAGGACGGCTCCCGCCGTGCATGGATGGGCGGACGGCTCCACGCACCGCGCGTCGACGGATGGGGCGGACCGTCGTGCCGACGGCGGCCTCCCAGAGGAGCAAGTCGATGGATGGGTTGGATGGGCTGTTAGTGCATACAATGCACGGTGTTCGAAAAGATTTGGGGAGTAGATCGGGGTTTGGTGGATTCGTGAGAAGTGTGGGATTGTGGATTCTGATCCTTGAAGTGGAGGATTTGTGTGGATCATGCCCCATGCCCCATGCAGTGGATCCAAGATATACCACTTGAAGCACATCAGTTTCAGAGGGTCCTAACGACTCTTGCCTTGTTTCCTGCATGGAATATCTCCCGTGACTCAGGAGTGCTTTTGAAGGCATTAATCGCAGAAAAGAGCCAACGAACTGCATAGTTCTTCAAAGTGAGCCTTTTGGAGTCCCTGTTTGTGTGACCTTTTACTCAGGCCTGTTTGTGACCTCAAACCAGGAGATCAAAATGTCACGTTTAGAAAACAAGGTGCCACTCTCCAAACTTGTTGCACATGTCTTGCAGAAACAGCACAGGATCAGGGTCAGGGTCTTCACGCTATACAAGTGTTGGTGGTTTCTCTTGAGGTGTTTTCCGCTGACAGGACGGGGGGAAGCCGCTGGCCATGGTACCTTACCTCCAGTGCCAGGAGGTGACTGTGACCATTGACGAGCTTGGGCCTGAGCAGAAGCGGCGGTTAGCGGCGCCAGCCTGCGGCAAAAATATACAGGAGTCGCAACATGACACAACTGTACCATCTGTACCTGAGCTATCTTACTACCAGCACCTTCCAAAATATAAAGTTGATGAAAGTTGTGGGATTTTGAAAAGAACTTTGATTTTGCCACCAACACTCCGGGCTTCTCAAACGCCATCCGCAAAAAGTGCTGTTTTTTTGTGGGTAAATGACGGCTTTTTCACGGACAACGTTTAGACCCGTATACTTGGCTTGCGACAATTACTGGAAAAGCTTGGTGTAATACAAGCTGACGCCTCCTCCTCAAGTTGCTTGACCTCTCACACAGGTCCGCATCAAGAGAAGTTGCTGTCCAAATTTGGTGAATCAGGCCTGACTGCCACCATCCCAGGGGCCCCACTCATTGCTTGGTCGTGCTTTCACATTGGATTTCGAGAGTCAGAGTCAAAGGGGGGTCAACATGGTTAAGAACCATGGCAGTGGCGCGATGTGGAGGATCCAACTGTAACTAAATTCCTTGTTCAATCTTTTTAGGCATCCTAAAGCTCGTCCTGAACTTCTGGAGCTCGCAGTTGTTCAACCTTCAACAATGATGCAAACATATATGCAAACATCACAATGCCTATAGAGACAGACAGACAGACGGAGACAGAGACAGACAGACAGAAAGACAGAGAGAGAAAGAGAGAAAGAAACAAAGACATACATAATGAACATAAATGAAAAGACAGACAAGAGAAATATAAATAAATAATCACATATGTCAGGATGAACTTCTCAGAAACACGCCTCCAAAAATCTCAAGACCTGCCACCCAAGGCGGCCTTCCGTGGCGGTCGAGATACATCACGTGGGCCTTGACACCTGGTGCTCCGCGTTGGTTCGTTGGTCAGCGCCCTGCAATGCCATAGACTGATGTAGATGGCTTGACCTGCTCTTGGGTCGGTGGATTTACTAGATGGGACACCCACAAGATCCCACAAGGCACCAAGCTGACCCCTGGCACCAAGCTGACCCTCCAACAGTTATGTACATGGCACCAAGCTGACCCCTGCGACATTGCCGAAAGGATATGATTGTCGTATAGTATACTCATGTTGAATGTTCGACCAAATTTTGATGTCACTGCGGCAGCTTCTGCTGCAGACAAGCCTGCAGAGTCGCCAGTGCCTGATGAGGTTGCAGTTGAGAACTGGTGCCACCTGGGATTTGCTGATCAGAGGTATACACATGGGGTTGAGAATCCGCTCAGAGGATTTGTTCTTTTTTTGTTTGTTTTTTAAAATGTTTCTTTTGGTGGCAGCATTGGTTTTAAATAGTTTCAACATCAGATCTCAGATATCTCATTGCATTTGTTCATGTGTGGGTCTTGGAGCCCATCTCCACAGATGTTTGACACCACATGGGATCATTCAAGAAGCCCATTTCCGGAGCCTCAACAACAACTGCAGACATCCATTCCTCCCGGAATCCCATTGTCTTGGCAAGAGTTCTCATGAGTCCATTCACTTAAGTCGTGGACGCGTTGCGAATGGGCCGCCCTTGGGGCAGTCAGGTGTGGTGGCAAGACCCGGTCCAATCCCTGACATCATCGTATAGATTCGTGGAGTGAAAACCACCCGTTGAAGTCTTCGGAACATGGTCATCCAAGAGGTTTCATGCCGTTCGCATTGGGCCCATGATAATATGCCGGTGCGAGGCATTGACCAGTCCGCATGGCATCTCGGAGGGGTGAGTGCCGGCCGTGAGGGGCGACATGTTGGCTCGCCCACCAGACACGTACCTTTCGAGGTGGCTACAGCGGCTACAGGACGAAGCATGCTTGAACATGGCCCTGAAGTGATGTTTGGTGCGTGCTAAGAGAAGGGTGGACTCGATATGGAACATTGGGAAACGGAGACAAACACCGCAAACACGCCATAAAAGACTCAGACCAAGTACTCATACAATGTCACAGAGGATATGAAGGTACTACTCAGCATCAATCTGCACATTTACAAAGCCCATCAATTATCATGTCATTTAAGTGGTGTATACAGGTCCAACACGCCGCCAACCATGGCGGAACGGACGTGTTTGACGATCCCCGCTGGGCAGAGGCGCGCTTCCGTTGCGCCGTTGGTCTTCCTTGAAAAAGGGGTGGCTAACCCTGAACATCACGGAGAAGAACCACACAACTGTAGGTGAATGGCATCACTTTCATCCATCACCACTATAATTTTTATCCATCACCACTATAATAAGAAACAACCACGAGTTGACTGAGCTGACTAGTACTTGCTTGGCCGGATCGGCGGACCGGCCCGTCCTTGGGGTTGCTTCGGTGTTCCGCGGATTCCCGTGGTCCGTGCGGCCGATCCGTTGGATTGTGGATGGCGCTCTGAGGTCGGAAGACCATGAAATCCGAAGACCAAACAGGGGGTTGTCCACCAACAGAGGTTAAGTGACCTTATAGGACCCTACTGGGGTACCTATAGGATAGCCTATAGGGTTCTTCAACCTCTGCTGGCACGAAACCATGTTAGTTGCAGGGAGAGTATACTTCATGCCAGCCACTGGGCCCCTTTTGGCGTTCCAAACTTCTTAAGGGTTGCTTCTTGGTTTGAGCCGGGGGCCAGGTGCGGGGCCGAGCCAGGTTGACCCACAGCTTGCCCTGCAAGTGGGAAGAAGGAGAGACTTGGCCGATTTTGGAGCTGTAGACTCTTGATTCTTAGACCCTCCCAAATTGGATTGGAAAATGTAACTTACATTTCTGTTGATAATAGCCCCAAAATGTAAAATTTACATTTTCAGGCACCCCCTCCCAGAAAATGTAAGTTACATTTTTGGTGGTCCCCCCCCTCCTAAGGTGTAGGGATATTGGAAACTCTCTTCAGGGCCTCGGGAGGTGAATCAACAGTCTTCATGTGGGCTGAGAAGGCTTTCACAAATTGGATGGGAGATTGGACACAGGTCCGAGAGAACGGTGCTTTTCATCATCATTTCACATTTTTTTCACTGGTGCTTTTCTCGGTGTTCAAGAGCTTTGGCATCATCTCTCCTACTTCGGCATGCCATGATTTGAGCCCAAACAGGCCAAAGTGACGAGCTTCATGGGGATGTCCACAAAAATCCCACGACCGAAATTTGGTGTCCTGGGTGCAGAGCTGGGTGGCGAGCTTGCGTAGCGTTTCTCCACACAGGATGGCAAGAACGGTCCCCTTCAGGAACGACTGGGAGTCGTCCCACCCCATGGAGAGACTATGGGACTGGAATAGGCCGCCCCAGAGTCAGACCCCCACCACCCCTGGCCTGATCGGTAAATCTGCAGATGTCGTTGCTTGCAACTTCGTCTTGGGAACTCAGTGGCTTAGTCGTGGCTTCGCCTGGGCAAAGGGGCGTAGCTACGTACGTGGCCGTGGCGAGGCCTGGTACACTTCCTGACTTACCAGCAGAGGTTGAAGAACCCTATAGGCTATCCTATAGGTACCCCAGTAGGGTCCTATAAGGTCACTTAACCTCTGTTGGTACTGATAGTCCCGAAAAGAAGGGTCCTGCGTTCCGTAATACGGTTCCAGGGTGAACACGTTGGCCCATGGGATGTGTTGATGTGTTGGTGGGAGGAACTCCACGAAACCCGACTGACATCGTAAAGGGAATGAAAGCCCGGATGACTCATCTAGTCACTCTAGTCCTTTGAAATCGAAGCGTTCCCTGCGTTCTCCACGTTGGCCCATTGTTTAATATCAGGGAGTGTACTTGGTGACGCTTTGCTGGCAGAAGGTCACGAGATGTCATGGTGATTTTTGGATGCTTTGAATGTCCAATCAACTGTGATCCGGGTTTTGTGGGCCACAGCCTGATTTTTGGCCAGTCGACCCTTTTGCTACAGTATTACGCCATTTGGTCCATCCAATTTCTATTATTATATAGACATCCACTTGATGGAAAGGGGAAGTTTTCCTCACTGGGCTCAAGAAGCCTTGAATAGCATACTCGTACCCTCCCTGCAATGTTCTGAAGTGGACACCCCTCCTCAAGGGGTAGAGGTTTTTGTTCACCTTCCAAGGGCTTCTGGCCGTCCACTTCCAGAATTGCAACCGGATCCGTGGTCGTAGCGTACCTCCAGTACGGTGCTGTGTTCAGCACTTGTTAATGTCTCCGGTTTGAAGGGTCCGGATCCCCAGAGGATCGGGAAGAGGCTGAGGGTCTTGGTCCGAGTGGCTCTGAAGAGCCGCGGCTCCGGACTGAGGATGGCAGCACACACCTGGCCACCTTGGGAAGCCTCGCCACTGGGCGACGTTAGGAACTGACCATTCGATCCCCCCCCCCCACCACTTTGTGAGAAGGTGTGATGTGTGCGGACTCGTGCGGACCCCCCGAAAAGAGCTGGACATGGAAGGTCGTCGCCACATTGAGTTGGAAGTAAGGCAAGCTTTCTCCTTGTGTTGATTCACGACTTCCTCAGCTCGTCTGACAATGACAGGTCGCCTCCCACCACAAATTCACCACCGGTCCAGTCGGTTCAGCCTACTTGCAACGCTTGAGGATTGGAACGCGGTGGCCTTAGGAGAGAAGACCATCGACTTGGAAGTCTCCCTCTTGGTGAAGCATCTCGGATGAGAGATGCTCCATCATGCTGTTGCCACCCAACGTTTTGGGGTGTCCACTTGTTAGTTGCAGAATGTTGCAGATGTTGAACTAACAAGGGGCTGCAGTTGCAGAGCTTCCCTTGTTGGGGTGTCCCCTTGATGTTGCGGATGCGTTTATACAATTGCACGGTTTCTTTTTTTCCAGAAGCTCTATGACCCCAAGGGTCACTGAACTGAAGCTAGTTCAAGCAGAGAAACCTGCTGTCCCAGCGACACTCAGACCTGACACGTTCTTGTATAGTTTCATCTCTTTTCTGGAGTCTTCATGATGCAGATATTATATCATGGTTCATTCAACACATCAAGTCATTCCCCCTTTTGGATCTTTTGTGGAACATCGGCCTTCTAAACTGTGCTTTCACCGTTTCGATCCTGTTTCATCCTTTGAGCTCCCAGAGCTGCCATCAGCGCTCCCCCCCCTGGTTCCCGCCTCAGCGCTCCCTCCCTCTCGCCCGTCGTCCCCGTGGACTTAGGGCATCCGACCCTTCGGATCCGCCCAGCGTCCACACGATCAAAGCCAAGAGCAGCGGCCGGTCCTTTGCCGGACGCTTCGTGCCCAAAGAGGAGGAGGCGCTGAGGGTCGGTCACCCGGGCCGCACCGGCCAAACGGGGGCGGAAAAGAAAAAGCGTTTGGCCACCCCCTTGGGTTTGGGCGACTTCTACAATAAGGCTCAGTAAGGCTCAGTTGCTCAAGTGAGCGCTTCAAGGATCAGTTTTGGGATGAACCATCATTGAACCCTTGAGCTTGGCGTGTTTCGCCTGTCAAGTCGGCTGAGAGGATGCAGACTTGTCTCCGTCACGGACTCTTTTCCGCCAGGCGCTGCTGGCACTGGCGGAAGGTGGGCAGGGAGAGTGGGCGAAGGGCTGGATGACACAGAATGACATCCAATGCACCACCACCCAGGCACGACTAATGGGACTGGCACATTTATCGGTCAGTTGGGGTGATGCATAGCACGAAACACGGCGGCCACGGGCGAGCTGGTCTTGCTGGTCTTGCCATAAAGACAGCAGTCTTTTGGGAGATACTGTTAACTAAATAAGACAAAGACCCCTGATTCCAGGACCAGAAGCCACATGATTCATGATCGAATGAAGATCCCAGCATTCCCCAAAACATCCATTCCCAAACGCATCAAAACACGGAAAGCACTTTGACGGCGCTGTCAAGAACACTCCGCCTCGACGCAGCGGAACGAAGAGAACGAACGAACGGGAATGGAATGGCACTGGCACTGGCAATGGAACGGCAAGACCCACACAACAGGAATTCCTAGTCATAGCCAACAATCAGGGTGTTTCATTCAACGTTTGCAAAAGACATTGCGCAGGGTCAAGTTTCTTGTCATAGGAGGCCACTAGGAGTAATTGGGAGGTTGCTCCAAGTCCGGGTTGTACCAGAAAATCACAAAGAGTTCAGACTTGATTTCCACAAGTACCTCTTGAGGAGTGGGACAAGGGGCAAGGGGACTGGAAGTGGGACTGGAAAACCCTGGCCCAAGGCAGCACCAGTGGCAGCACCTTGGAGCTGGATTCCATCGTCTTCGAATTTGACAACAGCTACAGCTGGTGGACAGAGACTTGGCAAAGCCGGCAAAGCCGCATGACATGACTGGATCATGTGGATTGGATGGATTGGGGGCACCTTTTTTGTATTACAGAAGCATGGGTTGCTCAGTGCGGGAAACTTACCTTGGTGTCCTTTCCAGAGAAAAAAAGTGGTGGCTGATATGATACCACATATACCTATTGGTGGTTCACTGGGTCACTGGGATGTACTGTATCTCCTTTGATGATCAACCAACGGCATAAAGGGCAATCCATGGAAACAGCTCGGGAATCAGTGGCTTTTGAAGGAGGTTTGGTTCACTAGTAAGCACGCAGCTTGGGATGGAGACTGGACATATGAGCAGGTCTCCAGAGGGGAGCGCTTAGTGCTTGGCAGGACATGGGGAAGGTGACATGCAATGCGCGTTCGCGCACCACTTGGATTCGACGGGACTGGCCAAGCATGTGTCAAGAGCTTTCGTCCAAGCGTTTCCAGCAACGTTGATCAATGATGAGATCTGTGTTGGAATGGATTGGTGTTCCATTAAGGCTTCTCTCCAATTGTTCAGAGAAACAGTTGGATCGGATGAAGTCCCATTACTGGCAACCAAGATGTTCACGTACGGCCGTTCCACGTGGAAGTCACGTACGGCCTCATCCACAATGGGCCCTGGGACAAGTGATGGACTGAGAGGGCACCTTCTTCGACGGTGTTTTTGTTGCCAAACGAAAGACGACATGTTCATCCTCAGACCAGCTCTCGGCGCCGGAGTCTAGCATGTTCATAGCTACTGACAACTGGGTACCACTGTGACAATCAATTGGTACCACATGGTGCTTACTAAGGGTCGCCGGATCCTTTTTGGGGGACACGTCTTGTTTTTTTTTTGTGGGCGGGGACTGCTATAACGTGGATGTTCCGCTCAGCCATGCGGATTCTTATCGATAAGATCTCCCCAGCATTAGATTTGCAAGATCTCAAGCACCCCACGAATGATTCGATCTGCAAGGGTTGCTCTCCCTTTTTCCTCCGATCTCAAAAAGAATTCAAGATAGTGAATCCATAGGCCATAGAACCCTTAAACATGCTTCAACCCTAAGAAAGTGTCACCCACATGACCTCCCACATGGGTCTTCGCATGCATATCCATGCGGCCGCCTCCTTCCTTCGCCCACGTCGCCAACGTGAGGAGAAGGAGGTGGAGCTCATCACACTTCGAACGGCCACCGGGATGAAGTGAACGCGACCCGCTCGCCGTCGTCACTGAAATCATCCTTCGCCCTCCCTTGTTTCAACGGCTTCCGGGTCAAACCCAACGGTTCGGCTGAACGGTGGTATACTGTGGCATGCTGAGTGGAATGAATTGATGGGTGGATTCCTAAAGAGGGGATACTTAGCCCCCAGGTCAGGTCATGTACAAGCTATACCCAAACACTCCATGGGACTGGAATATATGCCGCCCCATTGAACCCCCGGGCACCACCCCAACGTAGGCAAACATGGCATACATGGAATAATTATACATTGGCACCTGGCACTCAATTCTTTCCAACTACGTCCATCACTGCCAGGACCCGGTTGCAAAACCGTCAGAGGGAATATGACGGAATCATCGGCGCCAGCCAGCGTGGCAGGAAGCCATTCGAAAAGGTCAAACAGGTGGTGGCCTCACTCTACTTGTAGTAACTCGGAGTGTAATAGTCTTTAAGTCATGTGTTCCAGTAACGAAGGGGCCTAGCAATGCCTAGCACCTATTTCTGAGCCGCTTGCCGCTGGACTTCATACACCCATGGTCTTATAACCATCCCCGGTTTGGACATGCCGGTTCATTCAGAGCCCCTGGTTCTTTTGTATGTATAAAGGTGGCAGAGGCTCCGGCTCGGGTTATTATTGCGGAACAAGAACATCATCACGAAAGGTAGCTTGAGCTACCTGAGTTCTGATTGCTTTAGCAAACATGTATATATACAATCAAGATTTGGCGATTTGCATTGAGTTTGGTCCTGTAAGAAGGGATTCTGTTCGACCGGGTTTGGGGCCCTCTGGATCAAATCCATGGTCCGCTCCGTCTGTTTTGTACACCGCCCTCCTTTAGACCGCTCTTCATGTGCCTAGCCCGAAAAGCCTCAGCCTCCAGGCGCTCACGGAGAACCGGCCACCACCTTTGCCGGAGAAGGCGCCCCACAGCTTACCGCCCCGGGCGAAGACCAAGGAGGACGCTTTGGAAGCCAAGGCGGGGATCGAGCACGTCCAGAGATCGACGATACGTCCGGTGTGCACCTGGCAGGAACACTGGAGCCGGATGACGGTGTTCCGGTGTTCCCCAAAAAGTTCTCAGCTTTTCGTGAACCGATCGCCAGAGGGTTTTCAGAACTGCTGGGCCAACCAGGTCCTGGGGGAGTTCGTAAGCAGCAACCAGAACCTGCCACCATCGGCTCAATCACCTCCTCGGCCTCCGGAAGACGCCGCTTCGTCAGTCACAGAGCGTCGAACGCCTCCGCCTCAAGGAGATGCCGCCGGACCTGCGGAAGGTCGAGGAGTGAAACGCGACGGTGACGACGGGCGGCGACGGAGCAAAGGCTCTAAGATATGTAATAATAGTTGCTGTAAAACTGTAGCTATGCACCCTGGAAGACGATCCCATGGAACCTGAGTTCTGTAAGATCTGCAATACACCCCGGAAGACGATCCATGGAACCTGAGTACACCCCTGGTTGGTAGAGGAAAATCGTCTTCCATGGGACCAGGACGTTAGGGTCTATGTTAGTCTTCGGGAGTGTAGTTGCTTAAATGATCTTATATATCCCCTGGTTCTTCAAAGTGACCGAACTTGACATCCTGCTTGGTTCGGTCACAAACAGGCCTGTAACAGGTCACGACTGGGAGACTCCAAAGTTAGGCACTTTGAAGAAGCTGGACCATGACAACACATGATCGGGTGCCAACGGGGCTGGGCTGACCGGTGAGGACCAGGCATGCGATGAGAGGAGTGGCGCTTTCAGGCAGAGAAACAAAGAAACGAACTCCTGTAAATCATGGCAAGGCGAACGGGTATGCCATGAGTTATGGCAAAGCACACATGTTTTGAATTCTTTTTTTTAAAATGCAATATAGAATCTATAGAATCATAGAAGTCTATCCCATGTGACATATGTCATATGTGGGTTTGCCGTGAATTTGAGCTCTTGGTTCATCAAATACCTCTCCAGACATGGATCATCAAACTCTCTCTCAGGCCTTTTCCAGGGGTAACTGCATCAAGAGTTGGAGTGCGTGTGAGTTTGACCCTCCCAGTGACGTTCAAGAAGGAGAAAGGCTACATGAAAGGCTACATGACCCCGTGACCCCACCCCCCCTGCCCAGTTATACATAAACCCCTACGTAGATAACAAAACCCCTATTGATCTTCCTTTTGAGGGGTGATTCTTCCCCTTCCCCAGCCAGTTGTAGAGGCCATTCTTTGATACGTGCATGCTTTCCTGAAATCGAGCAATGGAGAAAAGATAACACATCCGAGTATATGAGATATGTCGGCAACTTGCCTTTAAGTTCTATGATCCATTTGATTCATTTGTGCAATATCTAGGGGCACTTCCTGCCATCAGGGCAACAGCTACTGATTTCGCTGTCAGGCTTTCATTCCAGTTAGTGTGGCACCTCCCCATGTTGCGTCCGGATCGAAGCCGGATCCACGGCGCGTGCAGCAGCCGCAAGATGCATCGATCCGGAAAACCATCTTTGGCTCCTAAAGCAGCTTCTTGAGAGTGTAGAAGACCCCGTGCAGACGACAGTTGAGCTGTTAGCAGGAATGCAGGACAAACAACTTGTTCTGGAGCAAAACTTGAGCGCACAGCTAGCACCAACTCATATTGATGCCGCATTAGAAGCTTTGACGCCCGGCATATTTCATCTCCAGCGCTAAGCATGCATGCACTGCACAGTACAAATCTGTGTGAAACCTGATTGTTGGAACGGTATCAACACCAGATGGAACACGGTGTGCTTTGATCAAGTTTAACATTTGATACGATGTTTTTCAAGACGTTCACGAGACCATGCTAAGTCCATAGATGGGGGCTGTCCGAACTTACCTGTAACCGTCAGGATGCACTTATCACGATTCTTGAACAAGGCCTGCAACTCAACCATCATCATCCACTGTTACAGGTTTTAGGGTAGACCCAATCCATGTTTTATTCCATGAGTACTCCATGCTGAACTCATGATTCCAGTCAAACGCGGCGGCTCTTGGTTAAATTGCAGCCTTGCAGCCTGGTCATGTGTTGAACAGTCGACCCAACCCGGGACGACTGAATTGCCATGTACCTGTTGCGCGCGTTCTCCCTGTGCGCTTCCACCGGACGACCGAATTGCATTTTTGAGAGCACAGAAGAGCTGAAGCAGCGAGAAGTGGTGCCGGACCCGACCGTGGTGGAAGAGGTCGACTGTGGAAGATGCAGATGTTTTCTTCCCAGAGGCTCATGGACCTTCAACCTGCTACATGCATTTAGAAATGTTTAAGGTCCATAGGTCCAAAACCCTAGCAATGAGGGTCCAATGAGCCTTTGGGTTGTGGGTGTGTTTTGTTTTTTTTTGTGGAGGATTTGTCGGGCAATCCATGAAGAGTTCGACCACAAAGCCAGAGATCAGGGAGTTTTGAGCGTGAAGAAAGGTGGTTTACAGGGTAAATCCATCCTTGAACATGAACAGGGAAGCTGAGAATCGTGGGTAATGTAGACTCTCGATTATATTGAGACCATATGAAGAGGATTTCACATGTTTTTGAACAACCAATCAAGAGTCTACATTAGGCATGGTTAAGGTCACGTGCCACCGAGGTACTACCACTCCTTTGTCGCCGTGATTTGAGGTGACTGGTCAGACATAGTCAGATGGACTCACTGGACAGGGGATGAAGAACATGGAGCAGGGATACATAATGAATCATTACATCTCATATACAAGACTCACCATGGGCTTGGCTTTTTGGCTGCATTGGGTAGTGCGAGGGGTCAATACATGTCAATACATATGCATTCCTGCATTCCATATACAGGGAGTGTATGGATATGTTTTACAATGTTTTACCCTTGTTGCCAGCCAAGCCAAAAAAGCAATTATACAATGGGTTTGAGTCCTTAAAGCCCTCTCCAGGGTGTTGCATCTTTTGTTGCATCTCTTTTCCTTTCACTCTGGCGAGATCCCTTGATCCACCGATCGTCCAGTGCATCTCCACAGGGTTGGAACCCTTTTTTTCCCACGACCCCGGAGGCTCTGAACCTGTGAGCGTTTGCTGCGCGCGCAAAAAACAGCACAGCACGAACTGAACTCGTGGGGTTTCACCCAGGCGTTCTCCAACTCACGCAGACACCGCGAAAGACGTGAGATGGCTCGCCCAGAACGAGCACGTCGCAGAGTCCTTTCCACTCCGCGCCTTTGAAGGAAGGACCTGGGGACCCTCTGAAGGAACGCCGGGCGTGTCTAAAGAACCCTTTTCCTCTTTGGTGGGACCGAAGAGCCTTACTACAAAACACCCGCGAGTCAGGTTAATCCCATGTGAACACCCAGGTTGCACAGGTCTTTTGAGAAAGGCAGGTCGTGTCTTTTGTGATGTGAACCGGGTTCAGGTTCGTTCCAGTGACTCTAGTCGTCATCCATGGCAACTGGTGGGCAAGCAGGTCAGCTTGCATGGGTGATATAGCCTGCTCAGATTTGTGAACCTCTATTGCCTAGAAGGGGCCGTCGCAGACTTTAAAAAGAAAGTGCGCACTACCGAGCCACACATGTAGCTGGAACTTCTGCCTGTGCGCTGGTAGGGTGGACACGGTGATGTTGATACATGCTAGCTACACATACTACAGCACAACATCATTGGACCCTCCTGTATTGGTAGAGGACCACATGGACCCTTCATCTACCCACTGGGTGGTAGATGAGAAAAGTCTGACTGACAGGGGTCCGTTTTCATGGTCCATGTTAGTCCGCAGGGGGGGGGTCATTGTTACCCGTCGCTCCCCATCATGACTGGAGTTTCTCCTTTTGGGCGGCTTACATCTAATTGATGGACCTCAGTTAGGGCGCTGGGCACTCGTTTGGGCGCTGGGCGCACAGTGGTCGTGGTTGTCAGGTCGAAGCCAGGAGCACCAGACCCTTCAAAGTCCAAGGATTCCCTGCCCGCGAGTAAGTTGGTAAGGGCAAGAAAAATCCAGTAGGAAGAAGACATTCACTCCCGAAAACTAACATAGACCCTGACAATGGCCCCCTGGAAGAGTGTTTTCCTTTACCAACCAGTGGTTTTCAGGGTCCATGTTAGTCTTCCAGGGTGTAGACAAATTCGTGTTCAATTCAAGACCTTGGGGCCCAGACTTCCTAGAAAACAGGGTCTTCGGATGCAGCCCAAAATCAGGGGGTACTTCATAGGAAAACTTAACCATGTGGGTTGTTCTTCAAAACGGGTAGAATGCGACACAATGATAGGATGGACGATTTTTTGTGCAACTGGACACTTGAAGAGCGGTCCACAAGTGTTTATGACCCAGGAATTCCTAACCTTGGAGGATACGGGGTGCCTATATAACTGTCACATCCACGGCCCCTGGATGGGACGAAGCAAACCACCCCAACATGGAACTGCGCTTGGATTGACTGTTTGTTGGTCAGGTTCCAGTGGCAACGATGATGACGTTAGCGGGAGTGACCCGGCGTCCTGGGGCATTCCACTGGCGCTGGCATCGCCGCCGGTGATTATCGAAGCTATTGCCCCCAGTGATGGCAGCCATTGGATTCGTGACCTGGCCCATGGATATAGCGGTATAATGTTTACTCTTGATTAATAACCCCCCAATTGAATTGGACATCCTTTTCATATGTGGGGTTTATTAATCAAGAGTCTACATTAGGTACACCCTCCTTCCAACAATCATGGAGTGGACCATTGCCCTGTGGAAAGGCAATGTTCCTCTACAAACGGTTTTTGTTACACTTCCATGATTGTTCCTGAAGAGGGGTGGTGTATATTTGTGAAAACACATGCCTCCTGGGGAAAACACTGACGAAGAGACCTTTGAAGTCACTGGGAGATGGGCTTTCAGACTATTCGCAAGTGCATGTCTTGACCTGTTTTGACCTGTCTTGACCTGTCTTGGCTTCGTCAGCAGCAGACACTCTTTTTCTTACAGTCGGTTTGCCTTGCCATGTTTGTCTGAGTCGAGTCTAGAGTCTAATTATGTAGGAGGGTCTAGAGCCTTGAAGCTGCCTGGGTGTGCAATTTAAATAGAGAGGCCCTCCACCAAGTGGGTTGTAGTCTACTTTCCTAACGGGTGTCCAATGGCGCGTCTCCCTGTTGATGCACACGTAACCGTAACCACATGTATTGTTTTCACATGTTTTCACGATCTTGGATTCTCCCTGCCGGCGCCTGCCGTTACCCCTGCCGAAGGTGTCGATGTCGAAGGCCTACCATTTGAAATCCTGGTGCGGGTTCCGCCCAAGGCGAAACCGGGTGAACGGGCATCTTGGCGAGTTAAGCGAGTTGATACACTCCTTGGCTTGAGACGCGGCTAGATAGTGTGTTTTTGGAGAACTAGGTGCTGCTTTGACATACATGTTGTATCATTGCTGTATCATGTTTTGTAAACTGTATGTCCATCCCGGGATAGAGTAACCTTCAGTGACAGATTTGTTGTGCCTATGAATCAATTGGGTCATTCAGGCAGTTTGTTTTGGACCAATGGTGTTTCTTTGTCATCCTTAAAACTTAAGGGACAATTGTTCATTTTGTGTGATCCGTGCCTTTTTTGCTTACTCTGTGAACAAATTCCACTGGTCGATGTCGTTGAACCTCTGTTCACCCGACTGCATCGCCATGTTTTGACCGGAAACGCTTTGTAGAGACTTATGAGCAAAATGCGCCCCCCAATCGACTTCCTTAATAATCCCTCAGGTCTCCATCGATCTTGGAGCACCGCCTGACTTCGAAGTGCCTGACTCTCCAACGAGCGTG